AAGAAGGCCGTTAAGCCAACATGCATCAAGCTCCATATCCCTCAAACAATCAGCGGCCCTTTGCCCATGACGGAGGAATGTTTCGATAATGATCCATAGCTTTCAGCACCACACGCATGAGGCGGCGCGACAGAAAGCGAAAAGCCAAACCCGCTCAAAACCCTAATCCTCAAACCTTACGCCGAAAACTACCTTGCTTCCTTAACCCTTAAGCCCCAAACTACACAGATTTCTGGACTTTAAAGAAAATCTTCGGCCTCAGAATGTGGGGCCAAAGAGGGGTCGGAAAACTCAGTGATTGTATTCCCTATAGTACATTTACCCAGAACTTCTGAGCCCAGAACTCTATAATAAGTAAACGAACATTTTGATAAGATCTGCCCAGAAGTCTGCGCCGTCGGCAGGTTGGCCGGAGTTGCCCCAAAAGTGCTGCTCACTTCCTGGCGGCAGTCGGCGCTTGAACCCCGCAGCCTGAACGATTGGAGTCAGGTTTCTGGTCTTTTTATACTATGATTACATTTTTTGTCACTGGGAATCTCTCTCTCTCTCTCTCTCTCTGCCGTGCCATCATCAAGTGTCTCACAATGAAAGGGCACGAGAAAGGGGAATACTACAAGACTACTTGTCCAAACAGCTGCAAGAAGCTCCTTCGGCTTACCGCGCATAAGCTGTTCGCTTCCAGGGTATATAATATACTTTGTCGGGTCTCCTGGGCGGCCGCAACCGCTGCCCTCATCTCGTCATCCTCGAAACCTTTGATGGGTCGGCGGGGCTGCTGGTGTTTTGACCTGCCCCTCAGTTCGTGAGCTCAGGCGCCACAAGGTCTATCGTTTCAGCTGAAACTGAAAGTTGACTCAAGTAAGCTAGATGAAAAGCCTTCATGGAATTCGCGGATCTCGCTTCTGACACTTGGACGAGCGTCTAAACGGGACCTTGTAAGCCACGACGCTGCTGCTGAATCATCATCAGTGTCAGCCGTAAGAGTATGTACAACAACAGCAACAACACCAACACCCGCTGCTGCTCCTCCTCCTCTTCCTTCTGCTGCTGCTGCTGCTGCTGCTGGCAATGCCATTGCTCCTGCTACGGCTGCTGCTCCTGCTGCTGTTGCCGGTGCTACTGCTGCGGCTGCTGCTCCTACCACCAATCTTACGAGGAATGGCTTGTACAGGCGGGCCATTCCTGCAATAGGCTTTGATGATATAGGGGCCTTACTAATTAGAATAGGGTCTCGGGCCCCCTTATACTATAAGTATAACAGGAACCCCCAGAATAGTATAGGTAACTATCAAGGCCCCTATAGTAAATGATTGAAGCACTCCACAGAATTCAGAGACGCCTTCAATGAGTCCCCTATGTCAAGTAATCTAGGGGCCTTACTAGTTAGAATAGCGTTTGGGGGTGGTGTAGTATAATAAGGAACCCCCCAAAATAGTATTGGGAATTGCTTAGGCCTCTTTTGTAATCAGGCTGCTGGGGATAGCTGGCTGTTCTCCTAATTACATGTACCGGCATCTCTAGAGCCCACGAAAAGTGAACCCTCTTGCAAGTTCACGCCCGGCGGAACCTACGGCTCCAATGCTTAGAGAAATTATGTTGTAACTCTCCCGACAGCGTCGCTTCGACGGATTGGGCTTCACTCGCATTTAGCACAACCCCGTGAACGGCGTGGTTTTGACGTACGGTTCGAGGGGTAGACCGTCTCGCCAGGACGATTTGGGACCGTCGGGAAACATAAGACGTCGGGAAGAAACTAAACCCAACCCTGCATCAGAACTTGCTACACTAGTTTTAACCTGGGTACTGCCCCCATACAGAAACAGTCTGTAATAGGGCTACTATTAAGGTCCTAACATATCTATATTATGAATATTACAGTATTCAACCGTTACCCAGTGGGGGTGGTACCCAATTGAATCTAGCCTGAATTAAACCCAAACTCCCAATCCTCAAAGCTTCCGAAAGCCGCAAAGGAAGCTCGGGCCCTGACAGAGTTTAGCCGAAATCCTGAGCCTGCGGAACCCGGAGACTCCAATATCCCTTCATTAAGGAATATACCTCAAATTATAGTAGGATCCCGAATATCGTTTAAGGAGAATTGAAGTATATTCCTTAATTCAAGGATATTGGAGTCTCTGGGAACCTGAAGCCTACTACCTGCCTGCAATCCCTTTGCCCGAAAACTTGAACCACGGAAACCGACCCGAGACCTTGCCTTTGCGAGTATGCTGTGGGTTACTATGCGTTTTACTACAAGCACAGATTATCATGTGAGGACTTAGAAGGGGCCCCCACCCTGTAATAGTGGTATAATAGGAATATAATAGGGCCCTAATACAGTCCTTATAGTCACTATTACAGGGTGGGGGCAGCTTCTAAGTAAGGGCCCCTAAACCCCAAACCCTGGAGCCTTAATAAACCTGCAGCGAGCCGAGGAGCGTCCTCGCCCTGCCCTTAACTGAAGTGGGCCGGGGCCCGGAAGCGCAGACTGAAATGGCATTTTGTCGCAATGGCTCAGGATTAGGGTTCAGGGTTCCATGATTCAAGGTTGAGGGTTTTTTTGGCAGCTTCGGCTGTAGGGTTTGTTCCGGTCAAGGTTTTGCCGGAGTTTCGCCTGCAGGGTTTGTAATTCACGTCTGCAGGTTGCCCTGTGTCCCGCACGCAAATTTGGCTGTTTTGGGCTTCAGGATCAAGCTTTCAGGCGTTGGCGGGCCTTTTGAAGGTTTCGCTTGGCTGAGCTGGCTTGGCTGGTAAGATCTGGCGGTGAAGCCGGAGGGCATCCTCCAGTGCATGCAATTCGCACAACCCGAAGCCCAAGAGCCTGGACAGGAAGTGGGTCTTGCGCTAGATTCCCCCGCATAGGTGCCGAAGAGTGAACCTAATCGAATTAGCAAACAGTAAAGTCTCGCTGTGGACCGATGTATGAGTCTTTAATCTTCAACATTCAACCCCACAACACCACCCCGAAAGGCCACTGAGGGCGTTTGGGGGGATTCGAAAAACAACTGCCGCCACTACCACTACCACTGATGCTACTACTACTACTACTACCACTACTCGTACCACCAGCAATTCTTCTGCGACTGTTAAAACTGCTACAACAGCCACGACTGCTACTGCAAGTGCAAACTAGTTCTGTGCTCGTACTACTGCTTGCGCCAGTGCTACTGCTAGGCCACTATTACGACTGCTAGTGCTGCTGCTGCTGCCGCTCCTGCTCCTGCTTGTGCCTCTTCTTCTACTACGGCACAACTACGACTGAGCGGCTAGGTACGACTATGCTATGATCTCGTGTCACTTGTCTTTCCAAGTGTGAAACTCTCCGCCTGTTTAGGCGCGGTCGAGGACATTTGCACAGCATTGTCGCTTCAAGTCTCGGGTCCAAGGCCCAAGATACCATGGAATGAATCGAGTGCCAACCCGTGGGGGATTTCGAGCCTCGTACATCCAGTTTGAGCCTCCTAAGAACAAACGCCGAATTTCCAGCTTGTCATTTCACCTCCTAACTCTAGGCGCATAGTCAGCACTAGTTGTGACTTTGATCGTGTGATGCAAGGCTGTAGGAGTCAGCTCGATGGCTTAACGGGCTTGTACGGCAGCCTTGAGTTCGTAAGGGTGAGGAAATGTTCACATGTCTCAGCGTTGAGGGCTTATTAAACCTGTCACACATCCACTTGCATGACTGAGACATGAAGCCTGGCAAATCCTGTCGATGAGCAGGAAAGAAATCCGGACGGAACTTATAGCCGAAAGCCTCGTGCGATTTGTGTGATCTTCATACAGAAAACATGATTGGAGTGTAGAGAGCTGTAGCAATGAAAGGACCCGAGTGTAAACCTAAGTACTGTTGGCGCTTGAAACGGCCGTCAGGCGACGTCGAAAGCGGAAGCGGACGCTCCTGAGCTGTCAAGGCTTCTTTGTGCTACTTGCGGTTTCGATTCCAAAGGCCCATTGCCATTAGTGAATACGATAGCTAGATCGAGCCCGATGAAGCTGTGGTGGGACAGGGTACCTTCTGAAACCAGCAGCGTTACGGCCTAGTTGAGCCAGGGCAGTGTCGAAGCCGCAGTTGGCTTCCGTCTTTGTCTCCGCCAACCATGCGAAGTTGCGAAGCACCAAGAAGCACAAAAAAGGTGCGCGGTTCTTGGGTCAGGTCGAGAAAACAGAGATGGAGTCAGAAGTGCTCTGTTCATCGACAACAACCTCAATCGTCGCTTCTTGGAAGGGACGATCGGGCTTGTCTGGTGCAGCACCGGCAAACTGTACATGCCCAGCCGGTCCATCCGAAAATCGCATCAGCAAAATGTGAAACCCTGTCCATGTGAGGAAGGGTATCAGGGGAATCAGGCTATCATCGCCTGTGTGAATCATCGACAGCTGAAAACTAAACCATTCAACGGACAGGGGAAGGCAAGCAGGCACCACCAAAACGATTGCATAGAACCACCGGTTCCGCTGCTTCACTCGTGATCCAGCGTAGTGCAGAACGTACAGGCCTGCCTGAACCCAAGAGAATGTCAGCAAGCAGGCGATGCCATAGTCCATGCACACACGCAGTCTCCACACAAAGGATGCATATCCCGCCAAAGCTTGCGGAGGTCCGACTGCCAGGACCGCTATGGTTCGAGAAAGCATCGGAACAGCGGAGACGCAGACCATTGTCTGAGCATGTTGGGAAGGTTTTCCAAAATCGAGCATGTGGCGGTCACTTGCGGGCTCGGGCATCCCAGAGACTCCAATATCCCTTAATTAAGGAATATACCTTAAATCATAGTAGGGTTTAGGGTGACATTGGAGTCCCTGGGTACCAAAAGCAATATGAACAAAATACCTAAACAAATACCTCCAGTGTGTCTAACCGCGGCCCAGAAGCAATGGTGTACTGAAGCGGCAGCCAGCCTCGCCCCAAGCTTCGCATGACCTCTCTTCTTCAAGAACGAGGCCCAAAAAGTTCCAGCTTTCTCACTTAGACCAAATATCCAACGCCAAAAATCTGAAAGCTCCAGCATTGGCTACTTAACGGAAACTTAAACCCTTGTTCTGGAACCTTTGCAAATTTCGTAGGGGTTCTATGGGTTCTATAGTAGGGTTCCCTTTAACGGGGTACTATGGGGTTCTACAATAGGGTTCCCCTTTAAGGGGTCCTATGGAATTCTACATGGGTGGTTGTCAAAAGTATGGTCCCGTTTTGGATCCTTATTATACTACGGCACCTAATATTTAGGGCACCCAAATAGGGACCCTAATTTTGACAACCACCCACATAGGGGTTTAGGGTTTAGGGTTCCCTTTAAAGTACCCTGAACCCTAAACCCTTACACCCTAAACCCCTAAACCCTAAACCCTTAAACCCTAAACCCCTAAACCCCTAAACCCTTAAACCCTAAACCCCTAAGCCCTTAAACCCTAAACCCCTTTAAAGGAGCCCAAACCCCTCAAAGGCGGTCGAAGCGACGGTGGGTGCCAGGGCTTCCTTCACCTGTCGGTCGAAGAGATGGAGATGCTCGTCGGCCTTCGGATCTCAAATCGATTTACAGGGAACTCCAGAAAGTTGGAATATGGTTTCAGGGCAGGGTACCTTATAATTTACCATAAAGGGTTCCGGATAATCATATTCCAACATTCTGGCTTTTACCTTAGGGTTTGGGGGTTTACTTGGAGGATCATGGGACTTAGTAACTAAGGTTATAAGTACCCTAATTGGAGTTATAAGTATAGTTACCTTATTTATAACCCTAGTTACTAAGTCCCATGATCCTCCAAGTAGGGTTCAGGGGTTTAGGGGTTTAGGCTTTAGGGTTAAGGATTTAGGGTCAAGGCTTCAGGGTTAAGGCTTTAGGGTTTCGGGTTAAGGCCTTAAGGTTTTGGCTTTAGGGTGGGGAGCCCAAAGAGATGAGCTCCTAATATGTAGAGTAGGGATAAGGGTTTAGGGTGAGAGAAGAAGCTCATAAGAATCTAGGGGCCCACTGACTAGAGTGGGGTTTCGGGAGTTAAACATACTGAAACTACGAATTGACAAAAAGGTGCTCCAAAATAGTGTTGGTAATTATTAAACATATCAGCGTCAAAAGGTGTTTCCCCTAGAATCTAGAATAAATGCGATTTGTGGTCCCAAACGACCTCCCCCTGAGGATTCCCATACCATCGCTTCAGCATGCCGAAGATCAATTCACGGTCGCAAGGTATGGCTTCTCCAGTCTGCGGGTGCTTGTGGTTATTGGAGCAGCAGAAGCACTGCGCGCGCTGGACGCTGAAATTAGCCAGCTGCTGTGGCAGCTCTTGTAGCTCCTGCATCAGGCCCAAGCCTATGTAGAAGACCACCGGCACGGTCAGGGCCAATACGGGCGCGAAGGACACGAAGAGTGCCCACAGATTGCCCAGGTCGATGTCTGCTACATCACGTGCCATGACGCTTGAAGCATGGACGTACCAATACATGATGACGTGCTCACTCACGGCGAAAAGGAAAAGGGTCAAGGCCATCTTTACAGGCATCACCAGAATGGGCTTCTGGTTTTTTGCGTCCCTGAGGAATGTGGCTACCTCATAAGTGCACCAAATTCTCGAAAAATATCTATGGGACCAAAGAATAGTGAGCTGATGGGATCGGTCTAGAAAGCCGGCAAGGCCCAGAATTCCTTTCTGCTTCAGCTCTTCGTCATGCTGCGCAATGCAAAGTCGATCCAGGAAGATAGTTGCAGGCTTCAGAAATATGCCTCGCAGACGCTGCCAGAAGAGAAGCACTATCCAGAAGGATGCGTGCAAAAGAAGAAGCCTCACTTGCTCAAAGATCAGGTGACTCAATTCTTGACTGAAGCTCGTTGGTTACGTGGCTTATCGATTGTCATTCCTACTTCAGCGATCCCTTGGAACATTTTGCAACCACAGAATTCAAGCAGCGTCCACCAATCCACCGGCAGCACACCGTGTGCTTGAAGCACGCCACATAAAACACTCGCCAGCAAACAAAAGCCGGCAGCGGCCCCACTGTTGTAGATGATCCTTTATTGCTCGGAGGATCTTTCAAAGGCTGGCTCTCACGGGACTTCAATCCCCCCCCTCCCCCCCCAGTCCAAGCGCAGTGCTCGGGACTGCATATGGGAATTGATGCTGGGGATCTCGTGCCTTCCAACCACCAGCTTCAAGCGGGCGCGCACGCACATACGAACACGCGCACATACGGAGTCTTTCTTTTGCAAACAAAAAATCGCTTCTTGCACCATGCCTTACTAGGGTTCTCGCAAGTGGCATGCTCTTCGGGACAGAATTACATGATGAAATTACTGTTTTGATTTGAGGCCCGAGTAACCAACAACCCTAACGCGAAGAAAGCCATGGCAAACAGCCTGGGCTCCTCCACTCTGAAAGTCACTCTTTAACTGCACATGTCTAAGAACCGTTCAAGCGAGAAACATGGCTCTTTCTTCGTATACAGACCTTTCCACTACATCAGTGCGCACAACCAAACACCAAACAAGAGCAATAACAAGGATGAATTGC